TTTTTGTTTGTGACTCATCCTCAAGGAAGGTACATGTTGCTCAATCAGTCTGCTTTCAGAGTTCATGAATATGACTATGGGAGTGTTTTTTGCAGTATTACATAAACAGTGTTTTGCAAATGTTTACTCTCTTCTACTAACAGTAATGAACCGAGTCATTGTGTATATGGAAATCTGCTGATGCTAGTATAAATAAATTCATATATTTAGGTGTGACACACAAACATATTGATAGTGAAGACCTCAATGTTAGCTAAAAAGGACGTGCCATTTCTAACGCCAGTTCATATCAGGAAAAGAAAAACTGGTTCTGGGTCCTACTGAGTCTTATACATCATTCCTGGTGAAGAACTACCTTCAGAAGACCAAAGTGTGTTACTGACTGGCCTGCACAGAGCCCAAATTGAATCCCTTTGAAAATGTGCAAGATTTACCAAAGAAGAATGGACTGGAACTTCTCCGGTGTTGTGTGTGAGACTTGTTGAAACACTGCAGTGCCCTGAAATAATTTTGTTTCTGTCTTCAAATTAAATAATGCAAGCATCAAACAAAACCTGGATGTCCTTGTGTATGCAACCTATTCTATCCTTGTTTGAACTTTGATACCTTGTTTGATTGAGATATATATATATATATATATATATATATATATATTCTCTGTGTATTTAACTTGTTCTACAGTCAGTAGTTTACTTGTTTCTAAACCTCATGACTTATACTGCCTAAAAATGAGTTGAATTGCCATTATCAGTATTTTTCCACTGCATATCTTGTTCATATCATATTTTGCTTCATATACAAATAAAATGCAGTCAAAAATGTGTTGTTTCATTTCACACTCTTATTATGCTGAAATATTGTTGGTTTCGCGAGCTTATATAAGCCAACTGGTGTGTTATTTTGTCCAAGCTGGGCCGGTGCAAACACAATATGATACCCTCCTCTCAGCAGATTGTCAGTGACAGTCTGACGGCGCCCAGCCTGCAAGTGGAGTTTGCGACAATACTGATGGAAAGTGACGCTCACTGAATCACATGTGGCATCAGCTAAATGTGACTTTCTCAGTAACATGCCTCAGTGTGAAAAACAAATATACATCCACTATTCACACATATGCAAGTCTTCACAAGCGACAGCTGGAGAGGAGTATCAGTGTCATTTTTTTCCACACGTGCCCAGTGTTAACCAGCTGTTTCCCTGTAATCCTCACACAGGCCCTCATCAATAACAACCCTCGACACATCAGAATGACAATGACTTTCAGAGAAGAGCTGCAGAAATGTCCGACCACACAGAAGACAAATGGCATTCTGCAAATGTGTTGCTTTAATGTACCCCGACCAGCCACAACATCCCAGCCATCTGCCTAATGTTGTGTAGGTTCCCCTCGTCCCGCCAAAATAGCTCTGAACCATCGGTGCATGCACACAGGACCTCCAGGGGTGTTCTGATGAATCTGGCAGTGGACCATTTGAATCCTAGCAGTTGCAGGATTGGGCAGCCACAGCTTGTTCTGGTTTAATCGGATTGGGAAGTGTGTTGTCTGATTAAATTCCTCTGGTTCTCTGTTAAGTTCCTTGAGTTTCTCCTGAACAGATTCTGCATTGTAGAGAACTTATCTGGCTAGGGGAGGACACTGGCATGGACTTATGGACTTTCCTAAAGAACATGCTATTTTAACAAAATCAACAATTTTACTCAGTTCACCTGTTATGAGTTTAATTGTTCTGGCTGATCGGCTAAATCAGCCACAGCATCAATGTGAAATGATATTAAAAGATCCACCAGCTTAATAACTGCATTATTTATAAGCAATCTATAAGTAGTATTATCAATGATTGATTTACAGATGTTTCAAAGTCTTCAAAGATCATCATCATCACCAATGTGAGGCAATAAAGTCCTGAGAAAACATTGCTTCACTGCCAGAGAGGTGGAGGTGTACCTGATGAATCACAGCGCTCTTAGCAGCAAATTTAATCTGTAATGATGCACTCCATTTCACATATCATCAAGTTGTAATGTCGGACTGTAGCAACCCATCCATCCGTAACCTCATGTCACCACTTGTTAGCTGAAGTATGAATTAAGGGGCCCGTACACTCACATATTTAACCCGTATTGCCAATTTCACAGTCGTTGTTTTGCTTATTTGGTTCGGACCAATAGAAAAGGCTAACACACACTTTATACATTACTCACTCAAACTTCTTACAAACAACCTAAACAACACGGACCTCATATGTTTTGAAGCAGGCATTTCGCCTCCTTTTCTTTTACCTTAATGTTTCACTGGCTGCAAAAACACAAACATGTGCTCTTCATGATTATGCTGGGCTGACATTTTACCAAATATTGACCACTTTTTCTGACATTGTGTAATGACCATGGAAGCTAGAGCTGGGAAAATGAACCTTTCTTCTGCACCAGTTGGACTATTTGCATAGTGCCACTGATTAAATCAATTCTCTTCCTGCGGAGCTCTGAAACCAGCTGGTCATGCCGACGGATCCAGACATGTTAACATATGTGTCAATTATGTTTTATGTGCCTTGACACAAGAAGTGTAAGCATAAATAAGCATTTTATTAACAAAAAATTATTTTTGGTAACACATAGTCACATTGGAGCTTCATTGGATCAGTAGCATGCTTCATTTTTGTGTAATACTAAATAGTGAATCATTCAAATGCAAGTTTTATTGTGTAGCTGAGTGAAAAAATGTTTAATGTTCTGATTCCAGCCCAATAAAATAAAACATCTGGTTCACTGACATATATATATAAATATATACATATATATATAAAGAATGTTTAAAAATATATATTTTATATTTGCTTAATCTTACTAGTTAATAACACATCAGAGCTCTTATTTTCTTTCTCCACAGAATCCTCAGATTGTAAGCTAGTTCAGTTATCATACCAAACACACTGGATGTCTTTGGAATTACACCATATGATGTGTTCAGGAGTGAATCTGTGTCTATGACATGGAAAGAGTAAGGGATGTGTAGCGGGCGCTGTGAGCCAAATGGAGCCAAATGGAAACTGTGGTCAGCTTTGTTAAAAAACAAAGTTATCCATACTGGCAACTTCAATGCACAGCAATCACCATAACAAACTTGCTTCTAATGTGTTTTCAGTGGTGGCAGTTCATATTAAACATGTTAAGATTTTTAAATAATGACAGTAAGCCCTTTCAATTAAACTTTTATGCTTTCAGACATATTTTATTTTCCTCAGTTTGTAGGATGTCATTGGAAGAAACATTCCTAATGTGGTCACCTCGGGCACAGAAGGCCACCTAATGTGGAAATATTCGATTTGGGAGGGGTAGCCAATCAGGAAAAAGTTGAAGAGGCTCAAACAGCCGGTTTCAGAACTCAAGAATGGATGAACTAAATTTTGACCTTTGAAACTGAGCAATGCTAATAAAGTCCAAGAATGAAAATATGGAATTGGAAATGATCATAACAGGCTCTCTATGATAAAGAAATGAAGTCTGAAGACTAAAAACACAGAAATAATGTCAAATGTTTCTTTGTCGTCCAGGATTTTACAAAGCAAACAGTGAACTACATGAAAAGGAGCCTGAACAGAAACACACAGCATCATAAACACCATTTATTTTTAGTTTTTTACATTGCTTGTGTAATTTGCTGAATACTAGATTCTAGATTTTAATGGTAATGTCGATGCAATCCAAAACATTACTCATAATGCTCATTCAGTAATGAAGTACATTAAAAAATTATCTTTAAAAGCATGTTGTCTGTAATCGGTAGTACAAAATGGTTTAAAGGCAACTGTCCAAACACTGGATGCACCTATTTATCTCTAATACAGACAGAGACTGAAGACTTTTCAGGCAAACCCACTAAAGCTTTTGGGTTAGGGAGAAAAAAAATCTCATTTTTGCTCCAAATCCTAGTGATCAATCTTTCCTCTCGCCCGTCTGTCTGTTATCTTCTCCCATTTGTCTGGGGTCTATTTTGCCCCATCCATCCACAAACCACCCTATAAAGCTGACTTTTTTGACTGCCTCATCTCACAACACTGGTGCTTTCTCTGTCTAGCCCGAGGTCAGCTCAGGGAATGAGATGGCGTTGCAAAGATAGTGGAAAAATGTCACCCAGGAATGAAATATTGATGGACAGAAAGGCCTTGCCTCTTTCCTTTGCCCTCAGGTGCAGACTGAGTCAATGGGCAGCGAAGAGGAAAGCCAAAACAAACACACTAATCCGCAGGAAAGGAGACTGGCGGAGAGCAATGCGGGAACGCCGCAATCCTGTCCATCCTTTCCCTCGGAGGTATCGTTATCTTCTCCCTCCCTCTAAGCAAACCATAATCAGATTCACTTGCACTTCAGTTGATGTGGTTTATTTCCAGCCAAGGGCTTCCAGGCTTAACATATGATCCCCTTCTGGCAAATAACAAATCAATACAATGTAAATAAGGAGAGGGAAAATAAATCCCTACATCTAAATTTGCATAACGAGATGCAAGGTAAGGCTGAGGTGAAACATGCCAGCCTTGTTTAGAAGTGAACTGTCTGCCGGCTGTTAAAGGGAGCCTCAATTACAAAGCAGGAGAGACGACAGAGAGATGTCATCCCTATGCTGCTAAACAAAAGCACTGCTGTTGTTTCTTCATACAGAGTACACTTAGAACTCAACCAGATGTCATTAATGTCAAGTAGGAGTGTGTTTTGTATAAATATATGTACAGCAGCATGAAGCAGTAGACTGCACCGGGCCTGAGTCATTATATAGTTCAACTAATGACTCGCTTATGCTGTTTTTGTCATTTCGTGGAACAGGCAGGCAGTAACGCTTTGTAGCAGCTTTATCTGTGCTTTTAAAAAAGCTGCTTCGTCTGTCTCGTTAGAATTACAAACGAGGCTGGTAAACAGTGCCTTTTATCCGTTGCGGAACTTCCCTGCATCCATAGCTAAAAACCTCTGAATCCCAGCAGGTACAGTCAATATGGATTACTCACCATTGATCCACTGGGCCTCCGGGTCATGGACTTTGAACTCGGGTTTGAACAAATCCTCCACAGTCATTTTAGTGTCACTTCCAGCTTGGTTGTCAGCTGAAAAACAAAAAAGCATAAATTTAATTTGTTTGTTTCTGGTAAAATAAATAAATAAATAAATAAATAAATAAATAAATAAATAAATGCACAGGTTACAAATTCTATTCGCTTATTAAACACAAATCATCCTTCATGCATCCAATTTCAAATCAAACTCCAGCATTAGTTGCTTCACCATCAGCATCCATGTGAAAAAGAAAATACACCCTCTAGTAGTTTGACGGTTTAACATATCGGGATGTAAAAAAACAAAAATCATCCAGTTTTTTGCAGATCTTTCATTACAACATGACAAACACCCCACGATTCAGTAGCTTACAGGACCACCTTAAGCAACAATAATGTGGCATCATTGTGGAGGAACTAAAACGCTGCTTCAGTTAATTGCGGTTTGGTGGGATTTGTTAATTCACCGCTATCTTAAGGTGCCACCGCTGTTGTAGCGAGGGATGAGGATTTAAACTGAAAACAAACTGTTTATTCTGTTTAAATAAAACTGGAACAAGGAGCAAAACAGGAAGTCTAAACTAAGAAACACAAGGAAACAACAAAACCTGAGAGACAGAGAAGAACAGGTGCTCTGATAACAAACAAAGGGAGATGGACACAGTATATACGTGTGAGGATGATTAGGAGAAGTGGAGACACCTGGGAATACAGCTGGAGCAAACTAGACATAATGAGATAGGGGAAGCAAAACTGAACACATTGCAGGGACAAGGGACCATCAAAATAAGACAGGAAACACACTGAGGCACAAATAAGACACACGACTTGACACTACAAACAATAGCAGAGACTGCAGACAGACCGAGAGAGCTAGAGAGAGTCTCTCTAGCTTTAACCCTTAAAAATCAAACTAAACTAGGAAACAAAACCCAGAGTTCAAGAGAGCAGTAAATAAACAATTTTCATAAGTCCAGAACACACAAACACTGGACCATGACAATCACAGCATTTCGATGGGTTTGAGGTGTGGACTTCGGACCACTTTCACACCTTGATTCTTTTCTTTTTCAGCCATTCTGTTTTATATTTAGGATCACTATGTTTGGGATCCCTATGAAACAGTTATTTTGACACAAGAGGTTTTCTCCTACCAAACAACCCATGCTTCTTCAGTATTTTCTAGTTGTATGTTCATGAACATTAATATTGAACATGCTAACTGAGGCCTGTAGAGTTTGAGATGGAGCTCTCACCTTGGGGTAAATTTGATGAGCGGTCCAATCATGGAAAGGTTGTGAAATTGTGTTAACACACATCTCCAGACCAGTGAATTACAAAAAAAAGTATAGTTTTATAGAGGTGCTCACACTAACTGATTAGCGACACCTGGATGCTACTTCTTTTGTCCGATGACTGTAGGAAGAAAATAGAACTGGATGGATTTTTACACTTGCCTGACGAGCAAATACAGTATGTTGAGTGTCCTGTTAATCCAGATGTACATACTGGTATTTACACATGAACACACAAAGAAATCCATGTGTGTGAAAAAGATTCACATTGTCACAATGGCATTTCATTTGTTCATCAATAAGATCATCACTGGGCTAGAAAATCTTTAAGCTGTTCCAGCGCTGACCCTGGAAATGTTTCTTTTTTAATTATGAAATGTTAAGCCTTTAGCAGAAAGAGACCATGCCAATTGTAAGCTCCTCCTGAATAGAACAGCTGCTGATTGTGAGCAGAATAAGAGGGCCAAGTCATTTTGAATGTCAGCCATATTGGCTTCCCTTGATAACTCCACACAACATGTTTGTTTATGGAGGCAATGAAAGTCTAACCAACCGTGGAATACACTGGGGAGAGAGTGGCTGCATGGCCAGCGGATTGTGATGATTTTACATCTGAGAAAATGATATTTTTGAAGCACATATACAGTGTACAGTGTGTGAAAATGGGAGAAGAGCTTGATAAGCTATTTAGGTTCAACAATTACGTGAAATTGTTACCTGTTTTGTAGTACCGCTAGAAATTAGAGATCCCAAAACAGTTTGTAAAATACTCGCTAGAGAATATGGATGACACAGAAAGAATACGTTTTATGCTGCCTCAGTTTTTTCCATTTAGCATTCGTCATCCTTTTGTTTTCTATGTCTTTTCTAGGTTTGGGTTGGGTAGCAGCAGTCTAAGCAAGGACACTCCCCCCACACACAAACACACAATGTCCAGTGTCAAGCAGTGTCCAAGTTTCCATTCAGATAGCGAGCAGAGGGGTGTTTTTACACACCTCAGACGTGCTCCTGTGTAGTGGTGTTCTATGAAGCTTAATTGATGGAAAAGTAAGATACGTTCAGGCTTAAACCAAAGTTTTCACCGTCACAAAGTTGGCTCTTCTTTGTACGGGCTAGATCAACCTGAGGGGTATACTGTGAACATGCTTCTTTGCATTAGCTGACTCAATAAAACCTAAAAGTCCAGTCAGAGATAATGGGTATCACAACAGTGGTTATCAGCTTTCTGTGTTAATCCAGGTTTTGCTTCAGTCTCCATGCACGCTCGCATACTGCAAAAAGGGTCATTTCATGCATGCTGTGTGGCTCACACACTGATAATGCCTCTCACCTTCTCCAGCCAGAGGCACTATCAGTTGCTGAGGATGATAAATAATGATTAAAAATCTATAAAGAAAATTGTTAATTATCTGTATAGATTTATTGCCCAGGATGGTAAAATGAACATTTTAGTTTGAATTAATTAATTTATTTTTTACCTAACCATTAAATATAATAATAATAATAATAATAATAATAATAATAATAATAAAGGACACTTGGAAATTACTTTAGTTTGTGGCAGATCAAAGTGAAATTGAATTTATTAATTGATCAGGTATTCTTGCTGTGTGTTCTGTGTTTTAATACCTCACCAACAAATTAGAAGTACAACAACATTTGGGAATTTTCATCACTAAATTAGTACATGCACATTGCTATGACAGTTTGTGCTTCATTCAGTGGTTTTAAGGCGGTATGACTTAATATGTTGCACATATAAAAAACCCACCAGAGAATCTGTAGTGTACCTCAAAAATCCTGTAAATAAAAGAATCATTTAAAATAAAAAATAAAAATGTTAAAACTGAAAATCAGAACAGAACCTGCTCCTGACTAGCTTATGTGTTCAGCATAAGTTACCATGGCGATTTAGCCAGGTAAAAAGAGTGCCACTATACAGAGTTTAGGGTGGAAACAGCTCAGTAAGCCATTTACCATGCCCCGTTGTACACCCCTCTGGATCTGGACAGTAGCTGGTAGTGTTCAGAGTTTTGGTTTGCTATGACACATTTTTCTGATGACTATATGTTTTTGGACCAGTACAGAGGGAATATGTTACACAAGGATATTCAAGAATATGTTACTTATACCACCAAATGAAGCCAGGTAGTCACAGCAGTGCAAATTCTATGGCAGGTTTTACATTTTACATCGGTGGTACAGGAAAAGCATAAATATCTTGTCAGGTTCATTTGCTGGTTGTATTTTCTCCATTTATTACACAGAAAAGAAATTTGAGTTAGTAAGTGAAAAATAATAATTTCACTTTTATTTGGCCATAAACTGAAGGGATCCCCTCATGCACTTCATTATGGGACAGGGTTAGGTCTAAATGCACTCCCTGATCATCATGTAAGGAATGTAGCTTTCATGTTAGAATAACAGCAGTTTTGGAAGTGTGTTAAGTGGTGAAATGTACTGTACATAGTAATTTGTAAATTTAGAAGACTGGTAGCATTTTTCTTTTGCATATTTTTTTCTCTCCGTGACCTGATCCCTTTGACTAAAGTCAGACGGACTCAATCAGATTACTTTGTGCAGCAGAAGAGTCAAATGGTGCATCAAATGACCCATCTTATGGGAGCGTACAAAGAGCCTGAAGCAGAAACCCTCGATTAATAGATCAAGCTGATAACCACCAGTGTGATACCTATTATCTCTGGCCAGCTATGTCGAACTTGCTTCGCAGTACAACCCTGTGGGGGCCATAAGGCAAAAACGATGAGTTCATATTTCAGTTTCATCTTAGCCATTTTATACATGAAAATATTTACTTATGTGGCTTTAAGTTGGCCTACAGATAGATATTAAGGAAACGACCACCAGAAAAGGTGAACTATTCATCCACTGCCTTTTAAATCAAACAAAATAATTTTAAACAGACACCTTAAATCTGCATTAATAGATTTTTTTGCCTCTTAGGAACAGCAGCAGAAGCTAACAGTAAACACTGTAAAACAATGAACCAAAAATGATACATAAATAACGTTTACTGTGAAGGTTAGGTAAACATGTGAGATGGGTATTACAATATGAGAGTCGGTAATATCTGTATAATTTTTACTCAATTGATTAAATCTTAATAAGCATAAATTATGCGGTTATGTTTAAATTGTAGATTGTGCTGAAGACATTTTGTCAGCAGAAAAACAAAACTCCCCCTAAAACATCAGTTCATCACAATCCAGTCTGAGTGTTACCTGGTGTGAGGAGGATGACAGACATAGTGATGAGGGAACAGACCACCAGTATGACCAGCAGAGCGATAGCAATGCCCTTCCAGTTCCTCTGAGGAGGACTCACTCCACCCAGGTCCTGCAGAGAGACACACAGAAAAAAGGTGGAGGTCAGAGGGGAGATATCGAATGACTGAAAGTGAAGATACCAATAAGAAGAATAACACCAGACAGCAAATATGACACAAAGAGCTTTATTTTTAATCAAAAAAGTCATTCCTGATCATCACATATTGTTCGCTCTGCGCACTCTGGTTTCACTTACAGTACCTATTAACATAGGTCACATTAGGGCTTTGTGCTTCCAATCCAATCCCTACACAGTGGAGGATTTGCAATGGAGGGCTTTAAATGAGCCACACTGTAAAACTGAAAAATGAAACTCTGATATGGTGAAAAGCTGAAGAGTATTTGCATGGTTTAATTACCACTTGGCCAACCTTACCTTCGAGTTTCAGCTTCTGACCTATGAAAAAAAATTCTGCAAGGGTCAGGGGTCACTTTTTCTGAATCAGACAGAGATGTTGCTCCATCTTTTACAGATACTGAAAACAGCAGGCATTTGCATTCAGCGGTTCGGGCTTGGTTTCAGAAATCTGACAGATTGTAGAGTGTGGGTGTGTGTGTTTGTACGTGTCTGTGTGATATTATCTACAGAGAAATAGCTATCCAGGAGAGTTTGTGAAGCTTTTGCCTGCAACCCCATCTCTGAATCCTGGTGTTAGAAAGTCTTAAACTGGGTCTTCCACCACATCTGCTGCCTCTGATAACGTGAATTAAGCCCCCTCCTATAAATTTCTTCCTTCC